TCCCCATGGCATGGGAAAATCCCAACCCCATCGCCGGACCAGCAGAAGACACAGCCAGAGCATCGTCCTTGCCCGGCACCTCCCAAGCCACAATCCCCCCACACTATCCCCATCTCTTTCCCCACCTCCCACAGACCCCCCCTCTCCCCCAAAGCCACGTGCCGATGGTTCCCCCGCTGCTAGAGCAAACCCCACAGCCCCCCCCCTCAGAGCATCCTGATGCAGGGCACGTAGGGAGGAGGAGAGGGAGAGGAGGAATAGGCATCCATCATGTTCGGCACCCAAAACACACACCCAGGGAAGGCACCGGCACGCAGGCATCGCCCTGTGCACCCTCCCCAGGGGAAGCCATGGAGAAAAACCTTGTCTGGCCCTCACACCACTGCACCCCCGCACCCGGGGGGACCCCGAGCCACAGATTTCACAGGCAGCCAGCCGTGGGGCCAGCGATCCCACACCACCTCCCCCCCGCCCGAGGCTGCCAGTCCTGAAAGAGGAAGGACTCTGCCCTCCTTAACACCAGGATAATTGCGGAGACACGGGGCAGCCGCTTGCGGTTAGACTTCTGTAACTTGTGGCTTTTCCATTAAGCACGATCCTGCAGCGGAGTGAAGAAAACAAGCGGCGCAGCCTCCCCATAACCCCTCCTTTGAGGCGATGCACAAGCAGCCTCATTTCCTGCTGCTCTTATTAGCATTATCCCGATTTCACCATAAGGCCCAAAAATTTGCAGGATCATGCTGCTGCTATGGTTGGAAACTTTGGGTTTGCCAGCTGAGAGGCTTCACTGGCCTCCAGAACTGCTCTGACCCACGCAGGAAAGCCATTTCTTGCCTAAATAAGCACTCGCTCTCATTTCTTTCTATTTTTTCAGAACAAAAACCGCTAAGCAAGCTCAGTCTGACCAGAAACGTTACAGCTCAAGTTTCACCAGGCAAACATTTTGCGTAGTTTTATACACACACACACACACCCCGAGCAGCCCAACAGGGTCTGCAAGGGTAAAGCCGGGAACAAGTGACCCCGAAGCCAAACCGGAGGGCGAGGGCTGGCACCTGCCCCTCCAGACTAGCCCCGCTGGAGCATCCCGGGGTGGCAGCCGAGGGCTGGGGGAGGACAGAGATTTTTCCGACAGAGAAGCACGGGCTGGGAAAGCGTTGGGAAAGGATGGGAGGGCTGGGGTTCGCCCCTTCCAGGCAGCGACGGGTGGCTATAAATGGCCTTCTTTGTCATCGCAGCCAAATCGGCGGGCGGAAAAATGAGGACGGAGCCGCTCGCGGTGGGGGGATGGAAAACCCGCGGCCGGTTTGGGGTCCCTCCTGGGTCTTCCCTGATCACCCCAGTCCCTGAAGGGGCAACGTCGGGGCGGGTCCCGCTCTCCCCAAACCCGCCGGAGCCACGCAGGATGGAAACAGACGCTGGGGTGGGGGTGTGGGGAGCCCCGCCACTGCGGGCGCTGGGTAGGGGGGGGATGCTCCGCGGAGGGCACCCACCACCCTTTGAGGGGGGACCCCAAACCCCACCGAGGCCTCGCACCGGCGGATGACAAGGTGTCGCGGGGGCCCCCCGGTGCTGTCGCCGGTTGGGGGGCTGTCGCCTGCCTCCCCCCCGCGTTACCTCTGCCGTAGGTGAACGGGAGGCGCAGGGCGCGGCCCTGGCGCACCAGGCTGATGTGGAGGTAGGTGAACCAGACGGCGAAGGTGAGCAGCACCAGCAGCAGCAGCAGCTTCAGCTGCTTCCGGAGCTTCTTCACCGGGAGCCGCGGCATCCTGCCGCCCGCATCGCCGCCGCTGCCGTCCCCCCCACCGCCGCCGGCCTAGCCCCGGCCCATCGGGCCCCCCGCCCGCCCAGCCCGCTCGCTCCGGGCCGGCCGCGAGGGCAGCGGGGCGGCTCGGCGCGGTGGCCCCCGCCCGCCCGGCGCATCGCCGCCGCCCCGGCACCGGCGGGTGGGGGAATGAATGAGCGGGGCCGCGGCGGGACCGGGGCGGGGGGGGGGGGTGCGGCCCCGCCCTGGACACGCCCCCTCGGTCCGAACGACGCCACCGTCCGCCAATCGCGAAGCGCCCGGCGCCGGCCCGCCGCCAATGGGTGCCCGGCGGGGGCGGAGCCCGCGGAGGCGCCGCGCGTCTCCACGCCAACGGGCCGGCATCCCCGCGGGAGAGCCCATGAGAGGGGGGTGGGGGGAGGGGGAGCACGGCCGTACCCCTCCGTTGCTGTCCCCGTCGCGGAGCGGCGACGGGGCGAGAGGAGAAGGGCTCGCCGTGCCGCGGGAGCCGGCGGAGCTGCGGGAAAGATGACGGGGGCCTCTGCGGGGCCGCCCCCTCCCCCCACCACCACCCTTCCCCCCCCTCGGCGGGGATGGTATGTCCCCGCGCGGCCGCGGCAGGGGCTGCGGGGCCAGACCGGTCCGCGGGGTGGGGGCGGGATCCCCCTCACTGATGCGAGGATCCCCCCGATCCCCCTCGCTGGGTGCAGGGATCCCCTGGGAACGAGTGCAGGCATCCCCTGGGGATGGGTGCAGGGATCCCCCCGATCCCCCTCGCTGGGTGCAGGGATCCCCTGGGAACGGGTGCAGGGGATCCCGTGGCGGTCGAGGCCGCTCCTGCCAGCAGGGCCATCTGGAAGCACAAGAGCTGTAGCTCGCCCTGTGTAAAACCTAAACATAATTAACACTAAGACTTAATTAAGCTGACAGCGCCCAAGGCCTTGAAGGAGCTGCTCACCAGGCTGCTCCTTGGGGCCAGGGGTGCTCAGCCAGGCTGAGACCGGCCACAACTCATTTCACCAATGCACAGGCTGGTTTTTCCCTCTGCAGCGCAGCAACGAAAACATCAGGTTTGTTTTTTCCTCCTTTCCTGCTCCACAAGTTGAGGCAGCAGCTCCTCCTTGCTGCGGCTCAGGGCTGGGACAAAAACACAAGAGAAATCAGTTATTAGAGAAAAAATTACATTCACAGCTAGGAAAACTAGAGGGCACCAATGCTCTGGTTTGCGCTTCCCTGTACTCAGTTCCTGTAAGGATGTGGAAGGTTAATTAACCCATAATTACGGCAAATTTAGACAAACGGGGCAAGGGGGCAGGGAAAAGCAGCAGATGGGGACGGTTGGTCCTTGTTAGGAAGTGAACCTGCACTGGGCCCTTCAGTGGACTGGGGCGGCTGGGGGCTTGCAGGGCTGCCCCTGCCGGGAGGAGGAGGAGGCCGGGATGAAGGGCATCTCTGCACAGGGCTCTCCCAACAGATGTGGAAGATGCATATCTGGGGAAACTCAGCCGTTATTTCCACCATTTTTTGCACCCCTCCAGCAAAGGGAGCGGAGAGCCGCAGGTCGGGGCACAGCTAGTTGCACAACTTTCATCCAGGGGACCCAATTTCAGCCTCTTCCCACCCCAGCAGCAACCCGGGGGGGGGGCCCAGGAGGTTTGGGAACATTGGCTGGAAATTCCGAAAAATTTGTGACTGGCCCGTGCTGGCCAAGGAGAGAGGCTGGGACACAATGAATTACAAGAGCAAATATTCACGCCCATGAGGAGTCCCAGCCCAACTGGGGCACTCTGAGAGTGCCTTCACACAGGGTTCTGACACTGTTCAGGTGCCAGGCAGCGACTAATCACTAGCACCCGTCCAACCAATCACTAGTTGCAGTCAGACTTTGTTTCTGGCCCCTCCACCACATCTTGGAAGTGCTGACCGGCATCTGAGATCAGCCCAGGGATCAACAGACAAACAGCGAGAAGGCTGCGAAACTAGAGTTGCTTTGCAAAGTCCTTTTCTCCAGGGCTGGGCTGTCCTTTCCTTTGGTTTATTTAAGCATGAACAACCCCAGAGCTGCCAGTAAAATTTTATTACTTCCTTATATTACTGTGTATAATGTGACTTAAGATGTATTAACAAAGTCATACTATAAAGGTTGGTTGGTACAACAGTTAGGGAGCTGGCACGGCGCTTTTCACGGGTCCCAAGTGATGTCCCCAACAAGTGGCACCTTCTGGCCTTACCACATCTTTGTGGGGGACGGAGTCGGAGCCAGGCTGGGGTCCCCCCACAAGAGCAGGGTTTTTTCCTGGGCCCTGTGAAGAGCTGCCTTAGAGGTGATGGCGCTGGCAGGGACGAGCTCACAGCCAGTGACAGCCGGTCCCGGAGCTGCCCGAAGCCGCTCTCGCCCCCAGCAGTGGGATTTCGGGGATTTCCAGGCAGGCACAAGCCCGAGCCCTTCGCACGACATCCGGCCTCCCCGCGCCAGCGATGCACTGGGCCCTGCCTTGACAGGATTTCTGGGAATTAACCCCCCTCCAAAAAATGAAGGGAGCGGTGATCCTTGCTGTGCCAAAGGGACGATAATCCCGGCCAGGGCTGCTTCTGCCAAAAGCCTTTCTTCTCGGTGGAGCAAGAAACTTTAGGGGCCACGAAGTTTCTTCCCATCGGCCTCAGCTGCTTGCACCCAAAACCCAAATTGAGGGGAGTGGGGAGCTGGGGTTCCCAGTGCCCCAGTGCTGGGGTTCCCTCCCCTCTTTCAGGGAAGGGAAGGAGGGTTCCAGTGCCACATGGTGGGGACCTTACTTAGGGCTTCTTTGCCAAGCATCCCGAAACACTTGCCGTTGACCTCAGGCAGCCACCCTGGGAGGGGAGAAAGAAAGGGACAAGGAAAGAAGGGGGCAAAGAAAAAGGTGGCAAAGAAAAAGGGAGTAGAGGGGGGCAAAGAAAAAAGGGACAAAGAAAAGAGGGGCAAAGAAAAGGGAGGGAAAGACAAAGGGGACAAAGAAAAGGGGGCAAAGGGAGGCAAAGAAAAAGGGGAAAAAGAAAAGGGGGGCAAAGAAAAGTGACGCAAAGAAGAAAGAGGCAAAGGGAGGCAAAGAAAATGGGACAAAGAAAAGGGAGGCAAAGAAAAAGGGGGCAAAGAAGAGGCGAAGGAAAGCGGGGGAGAAGAAGGGGACGAGCGGGGAGCTCCCTCGCCGCGCAGGGAGAGGGCGGGGAGCTTCTCCTCCCCTGGCCGCGGGGGGGTCGGGGGTCCCGGACGGGGCGGCCCCGTCCCGCCCCGCCCCGTCCTCGGTCTCGGGGAAACGAAAGCGGCGCGGGGTGCCCTCCCCCGCCCCCGCCACAGCCCCGATGGAGCGGTCGCGGTCGCTGGGGCCGGCGCTGCCGCCCTACGAGCCGCTGGCAGAGGGGATGGACATGGAGGGGCTGCCGCGGAGCACCGTGGTGCCGGTGGAGCCGCCGCCGCCGCCGCCCCCCCGCGACCACCTCGTCTGGTCCGTCTGCACCACGCTGTACGCCAACGTCTGCTGCCTGGGCTTCTTGGCGCTCGTCTTCTCCGTGAAGGTGGGGGGGGTCCCGCTGGGGAGGGGGGGGCGGGGACCCCACTGAGCCCAGGGCGACCCATGGAGCCCCCAGAGTCGGGGAGTCCCGTGGACCCCGCAGAGCCCCCATCCCGGGGTGCCCCATGGACCCCAGAGAGCCCCCATGGAGCTCCCAGAGCCCCCAACCCCAGGGAGACCCACAGACCACATAGAGCCCTCTTGGACCCCACAGACCCCCCCACCCTTGGGTGCCCCATGGCCCCCAGAGAGCTCCCCCCATGGAGTCCCCAGCCCCAGGGAGACTTGTGAACCCCAGAGAGCCCCCGTGGACCCCAGAGAGCTCCCCCCATGGAGTCCCCAGCCCCAGGGGGACTTGTGAACCCCAGAGAGCCCCCGTGGACCCCAGAGAGCCCCCAGAGAGCTCCCAGAGCCCCCAACCCCAGGGAGACCCACAGACCACATAGAGCCCCCATGGAGCCCCCAAAGTTGAGGAGTCCTGTGGACCCCGCAGAGCCCCCACCCCAGGGTGCCCTATGGACCCCAGAGAGCCCCTATGGAGCCCCCAGCCCTAGGGAGACCTGTGGACCCCAGAGAGCCCCCCACCCTGGGGTGCCCCATGGACCTCAGAGAGGGCCCATGGACCCCACAGACCCCCCCACCCTTGAATGCCCCATGGACCCCAGAGAGCTCCCCTCATCGAGTCTCCAGCCCCAGGGAGACTTGTGGACCCCAGAGAGCCCCCATGGACGCCAGAGAGCCCCCATGGAGCTCCCAGAGCCCCCAGCCCCAGAGAGACCCACAGACCACATAGAGCCCCCAGCCCCAGGAAGACCCATGGACCCCACAGAGCCCCAACCCTGGCACGCCCAAAGCACTCCACAGAGACCCCCAGCCAAGAGCCCTGTGGACCCCACAGAGCCCCCAACCCCAGGTAGCACCATGGACCTTAAAGCCCCAAACCTGAGGGTGCCCAGTGGACCCCACAAAGCCCCTACTCCATGGCCCCCTGGCCCTGGCTGGAAGCTCTGAAGAAGGCCGGGATTTTGGGGCAGTGGGTGCTGCTGGCACCCCAGGGTAATCCTGGTGTTTTGGGGGGTTCAGCCCAGTGTGGCAGCTCAGGCTTGCACAGCCCCTCCGATATATCCCACCCAGCTGCAGCCCGGAGCCCCCCAAGGCATCTCTCCTCCCCTGGCTCCCCCCAACCCCACTAACTCTCCCCTCTGCCTCCCCCCAGTCCAGGGACCGCAAAGTCCTCGGCGACTACAGCGGGGCGCTCAGCTACGGCTCCACCGCCAAGTACCTGAACATCACCGCTCTGCTGATCAACATCTTCCTCATCATCATCCTCATCGCCCTGATCGCTAGCGGCACCATCATCGTGGCGAACTACTTCAACCAGGAGCACATGTCCTTCCTCAGCCCCACTTAGCCCTTCCCTTGCTCTGTGGGCAGAGCATCCCCCCCCCTCTCCCCCCCTCTCATCTGCTAGGAGCCCCCGTCACCCCTCGGAGCAGGGGGGTTCTCCATGCGGCCCCCCCAGAGCCCGCTGGGGTCCTGTCCCACTTTCCTCGCTGCTCAGAGCCACTACAAAGCCCTCTCTGATGGCCACCCTTGGCATCCCTGGCAGGGGCTGGAGACCCCTCTCCTCTGGCAGCAGCTGAGCACCCAAAAACTGTCTGGAAAAGAGCACGCTGTTCTGTTTGCCACTTCGCTCTGACTTTGTAGCCCCAAGTGCCTCTAAGAATAATGCTAAGGAGAAGCACCTTGTTTGGAAAAAAAAAAAAAAAAAAAAGATTCAAATAAAGGTTTCTTTTGCTTTTGCCCCTGGCTCGGTTTCATTTTGTCAGAGGGTGGTTCAGGGTTGTCGTCCCCCCCCCCCCAGTTTGGCTGGCTGAGAAACAGAGTCCACCCTCGGGACGCGCCTGGAGAGGGAAATTGTCCCTCGGCACAGTGACATTGTAATAAAAAGGGCTAAACCATAGACCTCGAACCAAAGTGAACCTCCCGACCAGCATCATATCAGCATGAAATATGACCAGGGGAACAACCCCTGAAAACTGTAAATAAAGAGCAGAAACTTGTAAACTTAAGCCCGGAATTAAAGAAAAAAACCAGGAACTCCTTGGATGCGGCTGGGATCCTGGCCAGATCCGGACGTGTCCGAGCGAGAAGAGCCAGTCCACCAGATGTTTCCGTGCATTTTGTCACACAGATTTATAGGTTGGTTTGTTAAACAGTATAAAAGCCGGACCCTCTCACAGCGACGACAAAGACCTCACCTACGAGCGGACGCCCTGCGTAGGGCTTCCCAATCGCCGGGAGAGGCTCTCCGGTCCTTCGCTGTGACGGGGCTCCCCAGCTGAAGCACGGATCTGGCTGATGGTGAAGTATGAGGGCAGTTGGTGATGTATCCTTCTTAATCACTATAGCTAGCTTTATGGAGTAATGCTTAGGCGCATTACCTTGCTAATCCTTTCTGCTGCTGTAAACTTAAGTAAAATAAGCCTATTTCTTTAACTCGGGGTCTCCATCCTTTGTGTTGTCACCGTCAATTGGCAAAACAGATTTGGTGCCACAGACAGGATCAGAACAAAATGTCTCTTTTTAAATCTAAACGTAACAAATCAGCTCTGTCAGAAATTCCCAGATGGGAAGACCTTCTCTATAGTTCGCTGGTTCTCGAGTGGGCTAAGGTCGGAAGACTGTGCGAACAATGGGGAAGTCAGTTGAAAGAAGCCGAACCACTGGATGTATTAAAATGCATCCAAAAATTGTCTATGAAAAAAGGAAAAGAAATTGGGGGTTCAGGAAGATGGGGATGGATTTTGCTAGCAGCATATCAGAAACAGCACCAAGAGAAAGAACAATTGTTGTTAGAACCCTCCCACATGGAGCAACAAGTGTGTGATTTGCAGAATCAAATTGTTACATTACAGTGCCAGATCAAGCTGCTTGCCAACAAGTTGGACACTTATCAGACTGTAGCTGAAAGAGCTGCAGTATGGGTTGCACAGTGTAAGAAAAGAAGGGGATGAGTAAATAATAGGAAAGTGCATTTTGTGATCACAGAAGCAGGAGTACAATGGGATCCTGATAAGAGGGATGGAGATATTTGGGATTCTACGGATTCTGATGAGGCTGGTTCCTCCGATGAACTTGTGGATATGAAACCAGTGTGGAGACGGAAAGTAGAATTACATACCAATGAGCAACAAGTAAGGAAGGATGTGATAGAGAATTATACTCAGCATGAAGTAAAATACATCATTGAAAGATTTAAACAGAGGCTGGGGGGACCCCTACTCTCTTGGATGGTGCGTTTGCACGATCAGGGAGCAGCAGGGGTAACCCTACATCCAGGGGACTCTAAGAAGCTTTTAGTCTTGAGTTTGGACTCCTTTGTGCAAGTTGCATTCCGAAATAATCCTCAGGATACAAATTTGTTAGCCTTGGCTGCCCAGGGATGCAATAATAAATACCCCACAGAGAATGACTGGCCAGGTGGGGAACGTCCATGGTATACTCTGCGAGATTGTATTCAGCGGATGAAGGAGGAAGGGATGAAGTTGTCAATCTATATGGGAGACCCTGACTCGATGATGCGAACTGCCTTGTCTGTCTCTCATAGGATCTGATTGATTAAAACTGCCCTGCCGGCATACAAAAATGTAATCGTGACTCTCTTGTTTAATGAGACAGGAAATCCCATTGAGGAGGCGATTGAAAAATACAGCAGGTAGGTGACCTTGGAGAATGGGGTCCCCGAGGAAGTGCAGGAGATCAAGATACTCAAGACAGCCCTAAAGGCAGTAAGAAGAAAATTTCTTGCAAGGAGATGTTTACGGCTTTATTAAAAGATGGCAAGTCTCGTGAAAAAAATGACAGTGTTCCTCCTAATGAGCTGTGGCAAATATACAGAGAGGGCTGAATAGTCCTAGCAAGAAAGCAGAGAGTTCTAAAACTAAGAATCCAGGGGTAACTCAGGTTACAGCACCTCTCCCTGAGCCTCAGCGGGGCTCCACCTCTGCCCACGGTGGGCCCTCCGCGGGCAGATCGGTTGTTCCAGGGGAAAAGGAGGACTGAGAGTCGTATTCTGATTTAAACCCATGGAAGGAGATTAGGGAAATTGTTCCGCGTGCGATGGCCCCTTCCCGGGCCACTCCAGAGGCTGCAGGGTCAGATTTCCATGCATTGGAGTTGATCAGAATAAGTCAAAAACAGAGGAGCATTATCAACACCAGAACAGGAATTCAAATTCCTCCAGGACACTTTGGTTTAATAACTGCTCATTTGAGCCTAGCCTTGAAGGGTATTCATGTCATGGGAGGAGTGATCGATGCAGATTATTGAGGAGAAATTAAAGTAATCCTGTTAACCAATGATGAACAAGATTTGATTATTCATCCCCGTGACAGAATAGCACAATTATTGATATTGCCAGTTTTAGAAACAATTGTGAAAAAAGGGGATCCACCTCAAGTCACCACTGTTCGTGGATATAAAGGGTTTGGATCAACTAATTTTGATAATGGAGCTAAAGTATGGGTCCAAAGTTCAAGTGGACCTCCTGAGCCAGCTGAAGTAATAGCCACAGAAAAAGACAATACTGTTTTAATGATGAAGCCTGGACTGGAAAAATGAGAATATGTTCCTGCAACTAAGTGTTACCTGCAAGAATAACTGGATGTCTTAAGGTTTTACCTTTTAGGTTCTCCTAAAATGGATTTGCCTGTCTATCATCATAGTCCATTTGGGAAAGGCTTTTACCCCCGGATGGCCATTGGAAGGTCCACAGGAGACACCTTTTAGTTGGCGATGCAAAAACGCTACTGAGATAAGACAACAGAATGATTTCTGATGTGGAGTTAATTCTGCCTGTATCATAACCAATCTTACTTTCAGTACTCAGTATAGTGAAACATATGTTTTGGCGGCCTTCAGGACCAAAATCAAAATGGAGAGATCATGGATGTGCTTTTGTAACCTGTCCTGCAGATAATTTGAGTGTCACTACATCTAGTGACGTATCTATTATATGTTGTAACATTTCAGGTCAACCCAGTTCAAAAGATTTTTATAAATGCGTTAATCAAACAGATGGTCATGAGGTGAATGGTCATGCAATAACCATTCCCATGGAAGAAATAGAAACCCTAATATGCCGTAATAATTCAGTAATTCAAAATCGGTCACACTGGGGCAACTTTACTATGTTAAAATCTAAACCCTGTATTTCTGCTGATAATTTGTATCATGTTCCATCTACTTGCGTTCAAGTAGCTCAACAATATCAGAAGTATGCTATTCATTCAAACCCCCATTTGAACCAGAATATTGGTTGGCCCATTTGGAGGGAGACTATATCAACTCTAGGAATCGAACCCATAAATTAGATTTGTGTACGTCCACAGCAGATGGCATATTGTGTGGACAAAGCTCACAGCTGTATGAACCATGTTTATTGGGACACTCAGTGAATCTGTGTAAATGGCCAGTCTTGCCTAAAAGCTTTGATATGTTTGTAGAAATTAGTGATAAGCATGTTTGTGTAGTAACAGATAATAAAAATATTATAGGAGTGTATAATCTAACTACTCCATTTTCAGGGTGCCTCAGAAAAGTATTCTATCTATCTATCTATCTCATTTGGCATGGACAGATGTATACCTTTTATTCAAAGCATGGAGAACAACTAAACATGTATTGGCAACCCCAAAGCTTGGATCTTAATGGAATCAGCTTACCTCTGACTCCACTGAAAACCATCATGGAGCAATCACAACATTTGTGATGACACCTGGGATGACAAAATAAAACTCCATCAGACTCTGTGATACAGACCGTGATCACAAAGAATCAACTAATGTCATTAGCTAGCCAGATGGAAAAGGAGACTGCAAACCACTGGTGGGACATCTTTACTGGGTATTCACCAGTTGCCACCAAAATGTTGAATTTTTTAATACATCCTGGTATAATATTGTTAGTTATCATTATTATTATTACTTTATGTAATTGTTAGGTATTGTATTGTGTCAAACGGATAGAGCGAACGTATTGGGCTCTTCCAAAGGGATTGTGATCTTCACTCATAAGCCAAAGGACCGATTGAAATAAAAAAGGCTAAACCATAGGCCTGGAGCCAAAGCTGACTTCTGAGTGAACCTCCCGACCAGCATCATATCAGCATGAAATATGACCAGGGGAACAACCCCTGAAAACTGTAAGTAACAGGAGGGAACAATACCTTTTAAACTTAAACCAGGAATTAGGAAGGAAAGCAGGAACTCCTCGGACATGCCCAGATCCTGGCCAGATCCGGATGCGCCCGAGTGAGGCAAGTCAATCCACCAGATGTTTCCGTGCATTTTGTCACACAGATTTATAGGTTGGTTTGTTAAACAGTATAAAAGCCAGACCCTCTCACAGCGACGACAAAGACCTCACCTACGAGCGGACGCACTGCGTAGGGCTTCCCAATCGCCGGGAGAGGCTCTCCGGTCCTTCGCTGTGACGGGGCTCCCCAGCTGAAGCACGGATCTGGCTGATGGTGAAGTATGAGGGCAGTTGGTGATGTATCCTTCTTAATCACTATAGCTAGCTTTATGGAGTAATGATTAGGCGCATTACCTTGCTAATCCTTTCTGCTGCTGTAAACTCAAGTAAAATAAGCCTATTTCTTTAACTCGGGGTCTCCATCCTTTGTGTTGGCCCCATCAATTGGCAAAACAGTCACAGAGATGAGGCTCAAGGGTGCACCAGGCTCGGTCAACCTGGGTGCTCGTGGGGAGTCCATACAGCATGCAAAGAGCTTGTAAGGCTCCCCCCAGGGATCCGGGTAGCACCTCATCTTTGCTGGGGTGTCACCAGGAGCCCCCTCATCCTCACCGACTCTCAGGAGGGGCATAGGAGCAAGCAGTGCTGAGAGCAAGCTGGATTTTGGGGGGGAAAGGCCTGTCCAAAGGGTTTGAGCGGGATGAGTTTTAGTTATCACCAAGCAGCACTTACCCAGAATCAAGGGCTCTTCTGCCTCTCACCCTACCAGCAAGGGGGCTGGGGGGGACACAGCCCGGACAGCTGGCCCCCACCCACCCCAGGGACATCCCAAACCTTACGGTGTCACGTTCAGTATGTAAAGCTTGGGAAAGAAGAAGGAAGAGGGGGGACGCTCGGCATGATGGTGTTTGTCCTCCCACGTCACCATCACGCGTGACAGAGCCCGGCTGTCCTGGGAACGGCTGAACCGGCCTGCGATGGGAAGTGGGGAATTAATACCTTGTTTTGCTTTGCCTGCATGCGTGGCTTTACTTTACCCATCAAACTGTCCTTATCTCAGCCCACGAGTTTTCTCACTTTTACCCTTCTGATTCTCTCCCCCATCCTGCCAAGGGGGGGCTGAGTGAGCAGCTGGGGGGGCTGAGCTGCCAGCTGGGGTTAAACCACGACGACGAGCATCAAGCCCTCCTACCAGCCGCCCCCGCGCCGCGGTGTAAGGGCTGGCTGGGAAGCAGGAAAAAATCCTGCCTCTGGGGCTGCTGGCTTGTGGCACTTGGCCACCCAGCTCTGGCAGTGTCCGAAGTGACCCGAGCAAGACCTTGCAAAAAAAATCCTGTCTGAAGTCCACTTGACAGAGCTTCACGCATGCAGTTGGCCTGACTTCCCCTTTCCCCAGCTCGCTGGAAGCCTTCGTGCTCCTCGCCCTCAGCAGACTCTGGTCCTTGGGGCTGGGGCCCCTCAAGGATGCGAAAAAAAGCCTTTTTTTTTTCTCCTCTCCCCAAGAACATCAGACTCCTGCCAAGAAGCTGCACTCTTGAGTAAGATGTCAAAAATCCCGCCCGCAAAACACAACGGTTATTTGTTGCAGGATCCCTGGCACCGACCTCCTGGTGAATCATTTATTCCTCTGCTCCTTCCCGTAAGAGCAAACACGCACATGCTCCCACTTGCAAGCAGGGCTGCTCGCTGCCCTCCCGGCACGCAGGTCACCAACATGCCCGCCGGCAGATACTGCATCAAACATCCCCCATCTCTCTGTGGGGGTCAAGGAGTCTTTTTAAAGGGCAGCAAATCCCTGCTCGAAAACATCGCCCCGAACTTTCAGGCTCTTGGCTGCTTCGTTAGAGCTCTGGCAGCAGCCGCCTCCATTACAAAGGGGCTGGCACCGTGCCGGGGTGTTCTGGATCGCACCCACCCCTGCACGCTCCTTCTTCTTCCCGCTTTCTCCCCAACCCTGGCAGAAGCGGGATCCAGCCTTGTTCTGCTCAAATCTCTCACGGCACATCGCTGCCCCGGTGGGGTTTTATGCCCATCCGGGCTGGCACAGAGGTGTGGGCTCACTGTGCACCCCCCACAAGCTCTTGCCCCTGCTCCTCAATCAGACAACACATGCAAAAAAATCCTGGGGCGTGTCTTTCTAGGGATGCCCTGAAGCCAGAATCCCACCACTGCAGTCCTAGCCCGATACCTTGTTGGGAGCTGGCTGGACCTGGAGAGGGAGAAGCAGCTCCTCACCCTCTGCATCACCCCAAACCCCTCCCATGTCTCCCCAAAGGGCAATTGGGGCTTTTTTGGCATGGGGCTGCCCCTTGGTGCTGGGTCCTGGTGGGTGCCGGGAGGGAGCTGGATGGGACAGCAGGAACGGGGTGGGCTTTTAAAGCAGAGAGGGCAAAGTCCTTTTTCGGGGGTAAATCCACCCGACTTGGGGCTGCCACCCCACAGTGGGGAGGAGCAAGGCAGCAGTGCTCCAAGGACGCAAAGAGCTTGTTTGTGCTGTTGCAGCAATTGCTTCAGGCTGTTGGTAAGTGGCCAGCAAGCCCGTGAACTCCCGGCCATGCTGCCGGATGCGAGTGGTGGGACCCATACCAGCCCTCGGCGAGCTGCTCTCAACCTCCCTCAAACCTAACAGTCCCACATCCACCTTGCAACCCCTTCCCTCGAGGCGTGCAAAAGTCACCCCCCCACACCACCACGTTTCACTTTCCTGCGCCTTCCCTCCAGCACTTGCCCCAAAAGCTGTCACCCACCGCATCCCCTTAACTCTGCCCAGCCCCACTCACCAGCATCCCCGGGGCCTGACCCACCTCCCCCGGGGATGGGGTTGTGGGTGGGCGTGGGGCTGGGCGGACAGCCCTGACAATGTGGGTTGAACTTTGTCCCTCTACTTTCTGGTGTCTCGTTTGTTCAGGTGCAAGGCAAATAAATGAAAAAGCTGGAAAAGCAGGCGGGGAGGTGGGAATTTCACAGATGATTGGCGCCGAGCTCGGGTCCGTGAGCCACCGGCAGTATTCCCGCCTGTGCTGGGGGGGGGTGTGGGAAACGGGATCCCTAAACGGACATTCAGAGACAGTGGAGAAGGAACAAACCTGCTGCACTCGCTCCAGTTGCCCCCAGCCAGCATCCCAGCGCCGGGCACTCTTCTCACAGAGGGACCCTGGCACCCCAAAATGGGGAAATCCCTCCCCAGCAGGGCTCCTGAAAGCCACTATTTCAGCATTGCTGTACATCAGGTGTTGGGGCTGGAGTGCAAACACCCCCACACACTCCCTGGAAACCCTCACTGAGCCCTTGACCTCCTCCAGCCATCCCCTCACCCATCCCCACTGCCCTCCCCACTTCCTGCGGATTCCTTAAGCATTACCACATCCTAACGAACCTCGTTAACCTTAGCAACTGGCCCTGTGCTGACACTAAAGTAACTAAGGAAAAGAAAAAAAAAAAAAATCTTTTGCTTTTGTTTCCTGCGGGTTCCGGACATGTGACATCAGGGACTGGGACTTTCAGATCTGCACCCAAATTACTGGTATGGCCAGAAAACCCACATGGAAGAGAGCGCAGGTGATGAAAGTCTTTGCACTCCTTCTGGAACAAACCCTCCACTCTTTCTGCATGAGGAAAACCCCATTTCTCAGAAGATTATCAGGGCTCGGTTTCGTTTTATCAGCCTCTCACTCAGCTTCCTGGAGCCCGCCACTGAGCAGGGAGAATGCTGATGTTTCCAAATCCCACGTAGTTTGTAGCTCTGCATCTTGGTGGTTTTTTGATTCACACGGGTTTTACTTCCCTGCTGCTTTCTTGAAGCTTTCTTCTTTCTCTTTTCACCCCTCATCCTCTTCTTAGAAGCTGCAAGACCTCACCACAGCTGCAAGACCTTGTCATGGATGCCAGCTGAAGGGAGGAGAAAACCCTCGAAGCCCACCATGCGATCCCAGTGGCTGGGTGACCCTCGCCAGTGCTGGGGTTTGAGCCCTTGGCCATGGTTTGCAGCTGGGGAGGACGTTTCGGGGGGGCTAGTGGCTGCCCCCCCCACCAGTGGTGTGTCCCTTCTGTGGCTGAGCAACCCCAGGGGTGCGGCTCTGCCCTGACCTGCCCAGGGCAGAAATCACTTGTCAACCTGAGAGGGCAAAAAGCACGGAGGAACAGGCGAGGCACCCGCCCCATGGCAGCGCCCGCCCCACGGGCATCCCCCTCTGCTTGCCCCCCAGACCCCACCCGGGGCTGGGGCTCTGCCCCCCACCCACCCCGCCCCGGTGCCCTATGTGGTGTCAGGCGAGGGGGCCCCACCCCGGCAAACCCTTCCTCTCGCCTATAACTAGCCCAGGCACCTGAGTCCCTGCTGCTTGCTGGTGCCAGGCTACCATGGAGAACTTACCCCAGTCCACCAGCATCTATATGCAGCCCTACAGCAGGAACGGGGGGGGTTCCCCGGCCACCGCCTTTGGCCCCACCATCACCACGTTTATTCAGCCAGAGCCTGTCCCCATCCCCAAGGACTTTGTGCTCTGGTCCTTCTTCAACACCGTGTTCTGCAACACCTTCTGCCTGGGTTTCATCGCACTCATCTTCTCCATTAAGGTGAGGGGAAAGTCACCCCCATCCCACCACTTCCATCCCGGGGGTCCCACCTGCTGCCTGTCCCCATGCCAGGGCTCCCTAAACCCGTCTCACCCTGTCCCATCTTGTCCCACCCTACCCCAGCTTGCCCCAAACCACCCCAGCCCCGCCTTGGTCCCCATCCTTCCCCCCACAAGACACCCCCCCTGCTCCCTCCCACCATGTCCAGCACCACACGCCGCTCTGCACCCAACGTCCCCAGCAAAGCCACCGGCCAAGGGTCACCCATCCTCCTTCAGTGCTTTGGGAAGGGGGCTCGGGCAGCTCAAGCAAGCCCCCCGGGCCATCTCCCACCGAGGGACAAGGGGGACAGCCGGCTCCCAGCCCCCTCCCACAGTGAGGCTTCGCCCCATCCCAGATAAGAAGTGGCTGCTCCCTGCGTGCTTTTCCTTTATTACCTTGGAAGTGAATCATCTTTACAGGGTGCCCTGACAACCCCTCCACCTCGCTCAGGCACAACCCACCCTCCTCACTCGTGGGGGAGATGTGCGGCTCCCGTGGGACGTTTTTCCCCACTGGACACGGGGGTGTTCTCAGGCACCCTCCTGGCGCACCCTGAGATAACCCTCTTCAGCATGATGAACCCAGGGTGTGAGCTCCCAGCAAATAAAGCTCCTTCCCTACCCTTCTCCTTGGAAATGTCATGCTTTGGGGTTTAGGGAGGTGTTATTCCCCCCCAGGCATCCCCACCTCGGGGGGCTGGGGCTACCCCACGGCTCAGACGAGCCGGGAGCCAGGGCTGAGCGAGGAAGAGGAGCAGGAAAGGGGCCTGGGAAGGGGGTGCCACGTTGGTGCTGTTAGTTAAATACAAACACACACCCTTCCTGGGCACCTGGGGCGTTCAGAGACCACCCGCACCCCTCCACACCCGCATTATCCACCGTCCCAGGTGGAGATGGCCGCGGCGGGGAGGGGGCCAGGCTCTGCAGCCCCCGCCGAGGAACCCGGGGGGTTCCCACCTCGGTGCCATCTCCCCACCCTTCGCTGCTCCAAAGGGGCAGTTTGGCTCCCGAGGCCCCGAAGTCCCTCGAAGTCCCCTCCGAAGCCCCGTCAGCCTGCGCTGGGCGGGGGCGGGAGGACGCGGGTGACCGCGGAGGGGGCTGAGCCCGGGTGGGGGGTGCCCGGGGGCGGGGCGGCCCCTCTCCCCGGGCCGGCCCGTTCTCATTTCCCCAGCGCTCCCCGCCCGCGGGTGCCGGCTCGGCGCGGCCATGAAGCCGCGGCAGCCCGAGGTGTCCATCCCGCTGCAGCCCCCCGGGCGCGGCGCGACCCCCGCCGCCGCCGGCCCCGACGGGCAGCCCCGGGACTATGTGCTCTGGTCCCTCTTCAACGTCCTGCTGGGCTACGGGCTCGCCTACCTGGGCTGCCTCTGCTTCCCCGCGCTCATCTTCTCCATCAAGGTGAGGGGGGACGTGGGGGGGGGGGGGGGGGGGGCCAGGGACCGCCCCCCGCTCCAGCCCGGCTCGGTCGCCTCCAACCGGTCAACCCGGCCCGAGACCCCCAACACATCCCGACCCAGCCCCCTCCGAGACACATCCCCCTCCATCCTCCCCCCGCACCGATCCGGGCCCCATCCCGATCCAGACCTTTCCCTCGCTTCAGGACCCCCCAGTCTGGTCCCCCAGCCCAGCCCTCTCTGACATTGTCCCGGGCCCCCCCCCCCCCGATGCCTGCCCCAGAGTCCTCTCCCATCCCAAGACCCCCCCCCCGATGCCACCCTGCCCTGGGATATCCCCCCGAGCCAGTTCTCCCCAATGCGGTGCCCCATCTCCCCCCGCCCCAGAGAGCTGGGGCTGCAGGCAGGGGGAGTGGGCAGTGCCCAGTGCCTTCACCCCCTGCCCCACAGCGATGCATCCGTGAGGTCCCAGCACCACCTTGCAGCCACCCCAGGCCGAGCCCCCCAACTAAGTGTGTGTATCCCCCCTGCACTGATCCCCCCCATTTGCCCCCACAGGCCCGTGACTGCAAGGTGCTGGGGGACTTGGAGGGTGCCCGGCGGCATGGCACCCGTGCCAAGGTGTTGAACATCATCTGCTCCCTCCTGATGGTCGTCACCGTGGTGGTGCTCATCACCGCCATCACCATCTTCCTCACGACCCCCACCACCTGACTGCCGCATGGCCACCGACCTGCTTGCTACCACCCCGGGGGTTGCTTCTTCCTCCCCGCCACCCCCTCCTCCTCCCAAAATGTCCCCGTTTTGGGCGCAGGGGGAACGAGGGCGAAGCCCTGTCCCTTCGCTGCCCACAGCCCTGGGTGTCCCAGCACAGCCACTGCATGGCAGGGGGTGGGGGGGCACGTTGGGACGCGGGGGTAGCCCTGCTCTTTCCTCTGCTCGTGTGCCTCAGCAGGGAGCTGCTGGGCTGCTGGGAGCTGTGATACGCGGATAGGTCACCGTGCCACAAATAAAGCTTGTCCTGCCAAACCCCCATTGCCTGTCACCTTATTCACAGCAGGGAAGATGAGGGTCCTTGCACATCTTCAGGGTGACTTCCTCCTCCTGCTGCCGGCTCCACAGTTCTCTGCCTCCATTCCCACTGCGGTGCCGAGCACTTCCAGCCCAGATCCCAGACAAGTTTCTTCCTAACAGTAATGGTATGGCAGAAGGAAAGAAAAAAAAAATCTCCATGTTTTTCTGCCTGTACGCACCCCCTTCTGCCACACAGCCCCATCTCGTCCCACTTCCAGGGAACCCTGTAAAAATACCTCTTCCACATTTTGGTATTAAGTTCCCATTTAATGCATTCAGCAGTCCAAACACACTGCAAGCGAGGGGTCTTCCCAGCCAAGACCACCTGGAGGGATTGGGGTGAAGGTGTTGGTGCGAGCCAGCGCAGTGAGAGATCCTGGCCCCAAGGGTCTGTCCCGTGTCGGCCCCTTGGGGTGACCAGTCACTTGGTTTCAAGGTCATCCCATGGCTCCATCCCAATGGTCCTCCCCGAGTGCTCAGCCTCTCCCTCGGTCACGCTGGAGCCGTCTGCGCTCCTCATCGCAAGAGGAAGGCTGGATATAAAAAACCCGTAGGCTCACGGAACCAAATTTGTTTCTCCTAGCTCCCAGCCAATCCTTTCTGACAACCACAGCTCAGGGAGGGCTGTAATTTCTTGGGTTTATATATAGAGGTGATGAGGTTGTGCCGGAGACGGGGACTATATAAAAGGGGCCGCCCTGCCCCGCTCCCCAGCCAGGCTGGTGGAGCAGGAGACCCGTGGGGTGCCCCTCTCCGTGGCTATGGACACGTCCTACCCACGGGAGGATTACCTGCCCGCGCCGTCCCACAAGCGGGAGCCATCTCCCACCGCCCGCGGGGCCCCACCGCCCCGCGACCACCTCGTCTGGTCCATCTTCAACACCATCTACATGAACTTCTGCTGCCTCGGCTTCGTGGCGCTCGCCTTCTCCGTCAAGGTACGGGTGCTGAGCGGGGCAGAGGCGGTCGGGTCCCGAGCAGAGATGGAAGAGTGAACATTTGGGGTCACCTGGGAGCCCTCCCCATGCTGGTGCCACAGGATTGATTTCCCAAAGAGATGCAGAGCGTCTGAAATGGAGGCACAGAGCATCCCCCTCCTGGGGGGGCTGGGGTGGGGGATAAGAGCCCAACACCTTCAAAAGGCTGGTTGCAGGTGATGCCATTTCCCAGTAAAGCCCCCACACTTTTCCTGCCACCTATTAATGAGGCTGTGATACCCCCCTTGATAACCACAGCCTCAGCACCCTGGGGATGTCACCACCACTCCCTAGAAGATGCTGGGGGGATGTGATGCCCCCACCCTCTGGCAGGAGCAGCTCCAGCTGGACTGGACTGGAAAGATGGGGGCAAGCAAGGGCTGCAGCCAGCGTGGCTCTGAAAGAGGCAGGAGGGGAAATCCCAGCAGCAAAGGGGCCCGAGGGGAACGGGAGCGCGTGGAGCTGGCAGGCAGCCTGGGACGGACAGACAGCCTGGGATGGACAGACAGCCGCCCTCTTGGCACTGCTGGGGGGACAAAACCACGGGTGGTGGGGTGGCCAAAGGCTGGTGGGGTGCGGGGAGGGAGCCGCGGGCAGCCCGAGCGCCGCTGCCCCGTTGCTCGGCCGTTGCAGGCACGGGACCGGAAAGTGTCCGGGGATGTGGAAGCTGCTCGGCGCTTCAGCTCGAAGGCGAGGTGCTACAACGCGCTGGCCACGGCCGGGAGCGTGCTGCTGCCGCTGCTGCTGGCCGCCCTGGTTGTCACGGGCGTCATCCACCTCTCCAAGCTCGCCCACGAGTCCGTCGGCTTCTTCACCTACCAGTTCAGCGGGAGCGACGATGAGGACAAGTGACCGGTGGGCGAAGGGCTTGTAGAAACTCCTTCGCGTCGCTGGTGGCCCCCCCCCAGCCCCCAAAATGGCCATTGGTCCAGTATAACCCAGCCAACACCCAGGGCCACGTCCGCAAGCTTTCATGCCCACCGGGCAGCGCGGGGCTGGGGGTGAGCAGCCCCACACTCTTCTCCCACATCGCTGCATCTCCCCCTCACCCTCCCCTGCCTGGTCCAGCACCCCCAGTGCCCGACCCCAGATCCCAGACACACTTCTTGGGACAGCCCATCTATTTGTGTTTATCCTGTTTTTTTTAACTGCCTTTATCCTGTGTGGAGCACAGCATCCCTCCAGCCTTGGTGATCACTATTTAAATCATTAAACCATTTCACACACTGCAAGTCTTCTGCGTGCGTGTGTGTAGTGCAGGGGGGGTGTGCTAGAGCGACAATATAAATACGGCTTTTTCACTCTGATCATGCTCTTGGCAGGCAGGAGAAGTAATAACCTCTGTGAGACCCAAAGAGCCACCCAGCGACTGAGGAAGGGAAAGAAGCAGAGAAGTTTCTTGGCCCCGTGGGGACACGCTCAAGCAGATGACATGTCAGCCCTTCCAAGGGGAGCTGAGACTTGCCAACTCATTGCAGTAAAGCAGATGACCCCAGCAAGTCCCCAGGCAAGGACAGGGGGGGATGAGCACAGGATGCAACTCCACTGCTCCTGCTCTCCCTCCCTCTTGCCCTCACCAGGCCAGAGCTGGCTCATTTTTGCACCTGGACTGAAAGGATCCCTTTTCTGGGCTGGGAGAGCCCTTTTAGAGCCACCTGAGACCTGGCCCGGAGCTGGGCTTTAGCCCCAGCCCCATCAAAATCCAAACGCAGGTGCAGCCCACAGGGCTGTTATTGGGGGGTGAGGGGAGGGAGGGGTCCCTTTGTCCTGCCCTGCTGCCAAGAACTGCTGCTAATTAAGGGTTGAGTGACTTTTGGCAAGGCCTGATGGAGAGCCAGAGTAATTATAGAGCTGGGGAGCTGCTTCGCCTCCTTTTCTAAGCGTTCCCACATGGTGCCTGGGGCAGGGAGCAGCCGCAAGGTTTTTTTATAAACTCTGTAGGATTCAGCCAAGATTCCTGGGGTTTGCTTAGAGAGGACAGACCCCGGCGGGGCAGGGAATGCCTTCAAATCCCCTCGCTTTGAGCCAGGTTTGCTCCAGCAAAGGCCGGGGGCTGGGAAACACGGCACCAAAACCAGCCCCAGGAGGAGGGATGCAGGAGGGGAGGATGCTGCGAGGTGCAGAGCTGGGGGGGGCTGATCATGCTCCCAATTTGCCTACATGGGTACAGCCCTTCCTTCCCCCTCACTCACCTGGGGCTTCCTAGGACACTGAAAACGCCACTGGATTGCTTGCCCTGAGGCTACTTTGCTGGAGGAGGACTCTACTCAGACCCCAGAAAAACTTGTCATCTTGTCACTTATCATCTGACATAATATTAATAACTGATGCCTGGGCTTCCTATAGACCTTCAAATGCCAAGTTAGAAGGGCCTTCTCTCCAAAAACTCTTGAAAAGAGAAATGATAATGTAAATAAGGGCTTAAAAACACGATAGGAGTGTTAAACACCTAATAACTCAAAAGAAAAGGAGCTGTATGCTGCCCCAAGAGAGTTGAAATGCTTCTGGCTGTACATTTTGTGATTAATATTAGTGTCAAAATATCACCCAGCTCCAGCCTTAGCTCTGTCCACCCTGCCACAGTGCCTGCGGCTCCACGCTGCCTTGGCAGAGTTTCTCCTTAGAGGGGTCAGCAGGATTTGGGGGGTCCCAGCAGCTGAGCCCCCCCCAGCCCTTTGAGCCCCCGGAGTGATGCGGGGAGGCCGGGAGAAGGCGAGCACCAAACCAGGACGTGCTGGAGGAGCTGGGAGTCAGCGCACAGAGGGGCTGGGCTAAAGACAGACTTCACTGGGGGCATCGTTATAAATGCAGGTGTCGAAAGCATAAACAAGGCAGAAGTGTTCAGAAAACTACTTTAAAACAGACACTTTCGGGCTTGGTTTCATCTCCTTGGCCAAGTGAGAGAGGGTGAAGGCATGGGAAGGGGAGTCGGGGACCCCGTATCCCCCGGCATGGACAAGGATGCTCAGCATCACTCAGGGAGCTGCTGCCCCCCAGCCCTGGGGAGAGCTCCGGGTCCACCACCCCTCCCTGGGGCCGTGGCGACGGAGAGTGTGCCCAGGCCCGTGGGGGAAAAGGCTTTATGGCACAGCCTGGGACCCCCACCTTCCACCTCACCCTCTACCTTCCCCCTCAGCCGCTCTTCAACTTCTTTCTGCTGCTTCAGGTGAGCCAAGGTTTAAAATGTCTCAGTGGATGACCTCTGAATCCAGCCAGCCACTGTGGGGAAGGAGATGCTCTGCCCTACAACAAAAACCAAGCCGTGTGAGATATAGGAATGGCTTCTCCCCAGATTGTCTTTATTCTAGGAAGCAGACCCAGGCAATGACCCCATACCTTCATGCAGGGGAAATCGCTGCCCCGAATCCTCCAGCACAGCTTCCAGGGGAGATGCCAGAGGGTCCTGAGGAGACTCGGTCACTTTGACCCTGATCTCTTCTTTGGCGATGGTGAACTTCAGTTTGTTGCCAAAGTAGGAGACACCAGTGACTTTCAACTTGTTGACATCATCGGGAAGGGCAGGGTTGAAGCGGAGGCCGGACCTTGTGATCCTGGAAAGGCAGGAGCACATCAGCGGTGGGAACAAAGGGTGGCCCCAAAAGAAAGCAGCTTTGTGGGGTCAGCCACCTCCCCAGACAGTGCAGCCTCACATATCCCGCAGGTCTCTCCTGTTACTCCGTGTGTCTGTGGGCAGAAGGAGTCATTGGTGTGTCCCAAGGATCTCTGGGCAAATCCCAAACACACTGATGAAGCACCTGACGAAGAGCTACTCGGGCTGGGATTTCACAGCCCAGCACCCTAAGGTGTTGCTGTCCCACTTCCAGTTCCTCAGTTGGGGTCTGTGGTTTCCATTAGGTTGGATTTATTATTTTTTTTTTTAAATAAAGAACAAAAATGAAAATAAAAAAAAACCAAACAAACAAACAAAACAAACCCACAAAACCAAACACACAATGTTTTTTATTTCCAAGGCAGCTCAGCTCCCCACTCCAGTTCAGAGGCTGGCTTCAGCAGCAGCTATGCTGGCAAAACTGGGAATGCCCCGCTCCGAGAAAGGGAGGGGAACAGGGTACAGGAACAAGCAGAGGTGGCCATGGACCCCAGGCAGGAATTGTCACTGAAATCTGGTCACACAAACCTACAGGCACGGGCCCTGGGCCATGCACTGGAGCTAAACTCCAGGCACGCGAGGAGCTCAGGAGAGGGCTGTAGCTGGGATTTTTAGGATGCAAAATCAGCTTCAGCCAAAATACCTGGCAGCAAGCATCTGTCCTCACCTGCCGTTGCTCTGAAAGCTACACAGCGCTGGCGAGAGCTCACCTCATGCCTGATGGAGATACTCCTGGAAGTGCTGCTCAATTAAATCACAGAACACACCTGACCACTAGCACAGCCCCTGCTTCTCTTCTGTAATCCACCATCTCAACAGAGATACATCTGCACAGCTCAGTTTTCACTCTCCCTCTGGGCTGTGACCGAAGCTGGTCAGTAAGGTGACTCTCAGAAACCCACATCAGCTCCCACTCCTGCCAGTTTGAAGGGCTTTAGACTCAGCACACCACTGTATGTGCTACTTCACCAAAAGATAAAAATCAAGCAAATAGCTTGAACCCTCTCTCCAAGCTCTTACCCAAAGTCAAACAGAGCCCATTTGTGTGTTTTGGCTTTGGATGAGAAAATACAGTGGTCGCTGTTAACTCCTACTCAAATTTTGACATGTGAGAGCCCTTGACCATCATCTCCAGTCAGTTGAGAGGGCTCAACGGATTGGAGAGCCTCAGCAGCAGGCCAACACACCAGGCAAGGTCCGTGGTTGACAACGGGTGAGGCAGAAGCACGGCCTTGAGAGCTGCATAAATGTCATCTTGACATCTGTGGAAATTTGGCTGGAGCCCCAAAGCCTGTGGCTTGAGCCTGTGCCAAGAGGGGCCCAACCTGACACACACAGAGCAACTGAAGACCTTCGAGCTTCACAAAAACTGAGATTAAGGTTTTCAGCTTGGGAATATGGCAGCTCACACCCAGCTCCACCAAGAAACTGGTGGGTTTCCCAGCAGCTTCTGGCCACACACAGAGTAAAAACACATAGTTAGTGCTAGATGGGTTCGCTATAAATCAAAAGGCTTGTCAGTTTGATCCATCCTCAATTAAACTAAGAATACACTCAAGAGACTGTTGCTTCAGGGTTGAAACCACTGGACTGCTTTAGATATGAAACACAGCTTTGAAATTATATGAACAACTTAATGTTTTTTTCTAAGATATTTTAATGCTGTGGCAATGCCAGCTGAGCACTTTCCTCCAGAGGCTTGCAGAGCCACACATGTGCAGAAATCAGATTGCTTCGGAGGGGCTGCAGAAGGTCCTTCCCCACCACATCCAAAGGAGATAGGATGATGTTATAGCTAAGCCAGAAAACAGACAGGGAATGACATTTAGCTTCCCAAATGCACAACTAACTCATCAAGTGACCCGGGGAGAGCCTCTCACCAGTTCCAAATCTCTTTCTGGTCTTTAAAGTGGGAATAAGCCTATGGCAGCTCAGTGAGGTGGTAGAGGAGTGGGGTCTCCATTTACAAATGTCCCCTTAGAAAGACCACAGTGCATAAGGTATAATAAGCAGCAGTCTTGTATTTGCCTGCAAGGTGGTTGTATGGACTTTCTCTTCAATCAGTTAACCAAAAGGCCAATGTCATTGGTGGATCGCAGTCTTTAAGCTTCATCCACACTTTGTGAAGAAACCAAAGCTACAGCCACCTACAGAGTGGGCAGGTCTGGACGTTTCTGATACAGACATCAGAATGACACAGGCTGGCCACAATCCGGAGATCATACAGAGCCATCCCTCTTTGCTGAGGGTGTCAGCTAGTGTTGAAGAACTCAGTGCTGGCCTAAGCTTTGACTCCTTTTGAAGCCCATGGCTTTCAACACTGATGTAGCTGGAGGAGAAATGGACCAAAGCTTATAATTTCTGATAATTCCACCCTGTTCTGCACCAGTGGTTGTCCCCCAGCACCCACAGTTCATTCAGGATCATCACTGCTCCTGTTTGTTCATTACCTGCTGGGAGCTTTGGAGGATATTGCGGCTGCAAGTTCCTTTCTTTTTCATGAGTAAAATCACATTTCTCCAGCTAAACAATAAGGTTTCCAGTGACAATTAGCTGCTTAGCAATTAAATGTGCCATAATGTAGGTCTCACCTGAACCCTGTGTAGCCAAAGAGGACAGCTT